TTTCCATATGAACAACTGCAAACCTCCCTTTGCCCCACCCTGTACGTTGTTACTTTGTGTTCTTAGGCAGGGTTGGAGGACTTCGGAAGTTACTGCTGCCGTAGGAGGGGGGAAGAGCAGGACCAGACAGGAAGGCGGGGCACCCAGAGTCCAGGTGGGGCACCTGGCCTCAGACGGGAGCAAAGACATCCTCTGTGCTTCTTCCTCCTTTTCCTCCTTCCTCTGATGCCCGCAGTGACCTCCTTTTCAGCCCCCCACCTTGTCTTTTAACCTTCCTGTGCCTTCCTGTTCTTTCTCCTAACGTGCGTTTAGCCCTCCCTTCATGAAAAAGGGAAACAGACCATGTATTCATAGCATTCCTCACTGCAGAGTGAGGCTAAAACACCTCCCTCCCTATTTCAGTGTTGTTTCACGGTTAAACGAGATTTTGTACAGAGCCTCCCTTTGGAGGTCATCAACCCTTGAACTTCACTTTAGAATGGAAGGAGCACAGCACTGTCAAAACCGCAACAGTGTAGCTGGTCCTCTCAGCTCGCTGCTTGTGTGTATCTCTTCCCTTGTCTTTTCTCTTCACCTATTCTTCATTGAATGGCCAAATTCTTTTCTGCTACTTCAAACTGACACTTCCAATTCTGGTGCCTAAATGTTACCTCACCTGCAGGGGGAACTCAGAGCCCCAAAGTGTACTTTCCTGGTCAGTTGTTAGATTTGTCACTTGGTACATTTGTCCCGCAGTGATTTGTTTGAGAAAACTTGAGTGAGAACGAGGGCGAACAGCGCCACCTGCTGGGATGAACGGGAGGGGAGGCGAGAACGCCAGCAGCTGTCCATGGTCACATTCGGGTCCCTGCTTCCTCACGTTGGGGGGCGCGCAGAGGTCGTTTCTGCCGTCCCCACTTCCCCCGGAAGCCAGCATGCCACCCACACTGTGCTCACCTCTTCCAATGTCTGCTTTTCCCTTTTAGTGATGCACTGTCCAAAACTACCGTTAAGACGAGCTGTATTTAATTTTATTATTTCTCTTAGAATTTTTTGGAAATTGGACCACAGTGTGGTGGCATTTGAAGGGACCTTAGAGATCCTCTGCCTCAGTGTTTTCAAAAACCTTTGGCCACAGAAACCGGAAGGTGCAGATGTGCGCCTCGTGTTGGACACCGTAGAGGGAGGCCCCCACAGGAGGGAAGGGGAAGACTGGGACCCCCGTACACGCACCGCCGAGCCGCTCCCGGTGTCCGTCACGGTGCTTTTAAGTGCAGTAACAACGGCTTGACCAGTAGCATGTATCTCCTAAGAAGTCTGGAGGTGGCCACGGGAATAATTCAGGGGCTGAACAGTGGCCCCGAAGAGCCGGGCTCGTCCCATTGCCTCCCTCTCTGCTCCGAACGAGTCTGGTGTTTACGCGGTGGATTCAGCGGCACGAGCACGTGACTTCGCTCAAGATCAAGGGGTAAAAGAGAGACTGACTGTTCCTTCTCTGATGAGCTAAGAAAACTGTCCCAGAAGGCCCCCTGCAGAACCCCTGCCACGTTTTATTGGCCAGCGAGGAATCTCATGTTCCATCCTAACAAGGTTAGGAACAGGGAATCACCGAGTTTGACTTAGACAAGTCCAAGTTCAACCTGGTAGGGCCATCCTTACATGATGCGGAAGGTTCTGTGGAAGCGCAGAGACTCCCGGGCAGAACTGGGTCAGCTCAGGAAGAAAAGGTGGGGAGTGACTCATTGTTGGGGAAAGTGTTTCCCGGGGTCCGGGTCTGCCTGACTTCTGAGCGAGAGGCGCCGAGGGTTCTGCTCACGGCCCTTTAAAGGTGCAAGGAGAGCTGGCAGCCGCGGAAGCTGGAGCCTTCCTCTGAAACAGAGGGCAGACCGGTTTCTGGCCAGGATCACGAAGCTCCGGTCTCTGTCCCCAGGGAGGAAGGCGATCAGGTTTGCTAACAGCCCTTTAAAAACTGCAGTTTCCTAGGTTCAGAGTTCTCGGCTGTGACCCAGCCTTCGCCTGGGCTGCTTCACACGTCCCCAGGGGACTTGGGAGACCAGGGAAACCTGTGTGGACATCGAGGTATTGTTACTGCTACACTGTGAATAACGAAGTCCCTTGTCTCTGGCCCACCAGTTCCCCGTCCACGGCCAGCGTCCCTCCGTGGGTCGGTGGCAGGCCAGCTGGCTTCTTGGCCTGCAGGAGGAACCCCGGACACTTCCCCGTTCTGATACCAGCGGTTGCTACGGCGATCTCTCTGATGAGCCACGCGAGGCACAGCCAGGCCTCTAACACTTCCCTCCAGCAGTAAGAACGTTTTCCGTCTGTAAGAAAGCCCTTGTCCCAGGCGGAAGCAGGGCAGCTCCAACCAGAGATGCACGATGCCCGCCGTCGCCAGCCTGGCGCCTCTGACGCTGCCTCCCTCTCACTGGCTCTCTGACTCTCTAATTGTCTCCTTTGAAATGTCAGTGCCTCTCACCCAGAAGACCGGGAGCAACTGGCCGCAAACTGAACTTCAGACACAGTTAGAGCACACTTGCCGCGTGCAAGGTGATGGGGTTTTTCTCAAAGGCGGCCCCTAGTGATGCCAGGGAAGCTCACGTTGAATGACCGAGGGAAAGGGACCCGTTCCTTCGCCCCCGCCAGGCCCGCTGCCCCTTCCCCGGCAGTGCCCGCGGGAGACGAGTGTGCCGGAGCTGTGAGCGTTGCTCCAGCACAACCCAAACGGGGGCTCCCAGGAGGGCCGCGTTCTCACAGGGTCCCGGGCTTCGGTCCCTGCTGAGCTGACGTGACTAAGGAGGGTCTGGGAGACCTTCCTTCTCTAGAGGGAAGCGTTGGTGTCAAGAAGACCCATCGCCCAGAGGCAGAAACGGCCCCGTGTGACCAGCAGAGAAGAGAGTCTGGCCGGTTCCCAGTTCACTCCGGGACCAGAGCTCGTCACAGCAGGAGGGGAGGAGGAGCCCAGGAGACCTGAGCAGTGTGGGTCCCTCCGAGTCAGACCTGGGCTTAAACTCAGCTTTGCCGCGAATTCTGTTTTCCTGGTGGCTGTTGATACCTTTAAAATGAAACAGTCTTCTCCACTTAGCTCAAGGCCCTTGTTCTCTGGCTATTCCGACAACTTCCGCTTTACAATGCATCTGCCGAAATGGAGCCCCAGGAAAACATGCGGGTTCAGTCTTAGGACTGGGGACACCTTTTCCCTGTTGACGATACCGGACACACGGAGGAGGATCATGCAGCGCGTGGGTCATGGGACCGTCAGCCTGGGTTCCAGTCACCCCTCCATACACACCTGGATGGAGATCACCGGCCCCCCCCCCAGTCCAGAGGGGGTGTTTCACCAGAATGTGTGTGGAACCACCATAGGTATTAAAATGAAAGCCCTCTTCCTAGTGACCTAAAGGATCGGACTCCTGGGTACAATCGTTGATGTAGATTGAGCTCCGCGTCTGACGTCCCTGTAGCCCAACGAAGTGCGTGGGGCTCTGGGAGGGGCCGACCCAGAGGCGGGAACGGTGGGGGTGGGGGGGGGGCGTCCAGCCCTCCGCCCTCGTTAGATTGCAAGTCTTATTGCTTGTGACTCCGTCTCACTGGGACTGGTCCAGAGAAGCTGAATTCTCTGTTAGCCCCGGGGGAAAAGTCAGACTGCCCAGAGATTAGGTGCAGGTTTGCTGGTAGATGGAGCAGCCGAATCTCTTCGTAAGCAAAGTTGGAGAGTCGCTCGACCCGCCACCTCCCGAGTGCGGCAAAGGAGGCACCGAGCTGGAGGGGCCGCGGGCCTGTGTGCTGCGGCTGTGTGAGGCCGCCTCTCCTGCCACCGCAGGAGAAGTAGACGTTTAAAAACCATGCTTATAACACACTGGGGACTTAAGAAGAAGCCTAAAATGTGAAGCCGGAAAACCGTGTAGAACCAGAGTTGCCCGTTCATTCTCTGCTGTTGAAAGGTGACTTTACTGCAGAAGGAGGTTGCTGTGGATCCGTGAGAAAGCCTGGTCTGTGGTCAGTGCTGGCGGGCAGGGTCCGGGAAGGACCCAGCGTCCCCGTGGGGAACGGCTGGATTCTGGAACACACGACTCTAGAAAGGGTTGTTTTCTGGGGATCTGGAGCTTCCCTTCACACAGCCACGAGGGGTCGGGAAAAGATGCAGGTCACCTTCAAAAAATGATGAAGGTCACCTTGCCCTGGTCAGTGTGGCCCAGTGGATTGGGTACCGTCCTGCAAAGCAAAAGGTTACTGTTCAAATCCCAGTCAGGGCACATGCCTGGGTTGGGGGTTTGGTCCCCAGTCAGGGTGTGTGTGAGAAGCAACCAACAGAAGTTTCTCTCTCACATCAGTGTTTCTCTCTTTCTCTTTCCCTCCTCCTTCCCGCCCTTCATTTCTCTCTGACATCAACGAGCTCGTCCTCAAGTGAGAATTTTTCAAAGATGCAGGTCACCTTCATTCACACTCATCAATAATTCGTAACTCCCTAACTTCCAGTAGGAGCTACAATGATTAGTTTAATGAGGTGGAGTTGGCGAATTCTCCCAGAGCGGTAGCTCTCCGCTCTAGCGACCTGTTAATATTTTCCAGGGGGCTTCTGAGAAATGCCAGTGCCTCCACCAGACCAGCGAGCCCGGTCGGCAGGGTGGGGCAGAGAAAGGGCGCCACACCGAGCCCTGCCCGGGAGCTGTGCCGGGTGCGGTTCGCTCCCCAGCTTCTCTGCCCACTCGGCCTCGGGTCCTCAGAGGTGCTGAACTTCTCCAGACCCCACTTTCCTCATCTCGAGTCAGTGGTGGCGCCTTCTCGTTTGGCTTCTAAAGAGAAAACATGTCCACCTGGGCCCCAGTACAACTCTGTCTCCCGCTTGGCTATTAGTGGCTGGTAGTAGACGGCTACTCTGTCCTTATTCAGATGGTTCTTCCAGGGACCAGACAGCAGCTGACGTGCTGAGGTTCCTTTTGTCCCCTTGCCGTGACTTCCTTGGGCTGTTTGGTGTTGGGGAGGAAAAACACTCAAGGGCTGTTCCGCTTCCTGCTCTGCAGCTGCCACAGAAGTGTCCTTCTCCTTTGACGTTGGGAACGGGCCCGTGGAGATTGTGGTGAGGTCGCCCACGCCGCTCAACGATGACCAGTGGCACCGGGTCACCGCGGAGAGGAACGTGCAGCAGGCCAGCCTGCAGGTGGACCGGCTGCCGCAGCAGACCCGGAAGGCACCGACCGAGGGCCACACCCGCCTGGAGCTCTACAGCCAGCTGTTCGTGGGTGAGTACCGGTGGGAGGCCGCGTCCCTGCTGGTTCTGAGACCCTTCCCAGTGGAAACCTGAACGCAGCCCGTGGAGGCTCTGGCTGCACTTCTTTCGAGAAGTAAGTGTCTAGGCCTCTCGTTGTCTCTCTTCCACGACAGACGGGAAGGAGGAGGAGGGCTCAGGAGCCCGACGTCCGTCCCACTTCCCCCGGCTGCGGCTCAGAGTGCTCATCGGCAGGGGCAGGGGGCACCCCCTGTGCAGGTTTATGGTTTCAGAGCAGGAGAAAACCCTTTGTTGTTTAGGACACTTGTAACTACAACAGGAAGGAAGGGACAGGGGAGGGGAGGAGAATGGGCCCCCTAAGATCAGGTCTGCTCAAAACGACAAGCAGAAACCCCTTCCCGTCTTCAGACTCCTCACGAAGGCTCCGCCCTCACCAGAAAGACCCGCCTGAGAAGAGGCGCAAACGGCCACCTGGGGCGGCCTGTGCAGGACCGGCCTGCCTCCCAGTCTGGTCTGCCTGGGCCTACCCACCCCAGCGAACCTGACGTTGCTGCAAGTCAGCTTCCATTGCCACGGCTAGTTCAGTTTTACGTTTTGCTTTCCAGGAAACGATGACTTAGGGGAATTAGCCATTTTCCCCCTCGAATGAGAAAAAAGCAAGTTCGAAGGACTTTGTGGCCCTGCCCCATACCGCCCGAGTTTCCGGAGGTTAACTGATGAAGTCAGTCGGCCATGGCAGTCTTAGCACAAGCAAAGCCAGGCATGACCCGGTCCCTGTTCCCTTTCCTGACCCTCGATGGCCGAAACTCACCGGGGGTCAGTGCATTGTAACAGGGGCCAGAGTGTCTTTTGTGGCTGTGAGGAAATGCTTTAAGAACATTAGAAAGTCATTTTTAAAAAGGTGAAATCGGATATTCACTTGTTTGCAGCCATGTGGGCAGACTGCAGAGGTGCTGGCTTAGTCCATTGGTTTTGAACTCGCGAACGGGTCTGCGAGCCGGGGGCCAGGACAGAGGCCCAGCTGCGCGATGCACTGGTGCCCCCCTCCACCCCTTCCCAACCCCTCCCTCGGTGCTCGGTTCTCAGAATCACAGGTCGTTTTTTAAGTTATTTCTTCTTGGTTGACGTCAGGGTCACTGAACCGGTTCCTGCTACGCACTGTGAGCGGATTCACTTCGTCCGTGTGTCTTGCCCAGGCTGCTGAAGGCACGTCTCTTCCAAAACCTGCTCGTCCTGCGGGTCACTCTCCCCGGTTTGCGTCACGACAGGGCCCTCAGAGACCAGCTGTCCGCTTCCTAGGGCTTGTCCCCGGGTGTGGAGGACCAGCCTCACTTTCGTCCCTGCCTGTTCCCCGACCGCAGTTGTCACCAAGAATTTTGGAGACCAAGTGAAGTGAACACAGAGAGGACGAGGGGACACGTTTATCACGGTCTCAGGAAGTTTCTGGTTCGTCTGAACCAGAGCAAGGCAGGAAAAGGGGAGGGGCCGAGGCAGGTTTCGGCAGAACAGTTGCATTTAAGGGACAGGCAAAAACAGGCATCTCGGGAAGAAGAATAAAGAGGAACAGAAAGAGCAGGCGAGGAAAAACTGAGATGGGAGGCAACGGGGTTTCGTGAGATTCTCTTTGTGTATTAGGACAATGAACAGCAAGTGCCGTGGGTTGGGTCGGACTGGAAGGGAGTGCTTTGCGTTTAGTGATTATGAAAGCACCGGCGACCACGGGCGTTTCGGACGGTGGGCTGGCCCGACGAGCCGACACGTGTCTTCCCTCGGTGGGAAGGAGTTGGTTTCACGCCCCAGTCTCCAGTCCCTGTCCTCCCGCAGCGGGCACGGTGGGCACGGTGGGCACGCGTGCATCTGCCAGACGCGTGAGGCCCCGTGAACGGGGTTTCCTGCCATGGAGGCCACTCCCGGGGACACGTGGCCGGGGATGTTTCCAGAAACAAGTCCAGGCCACCAGCTTTGAAATCCCGGAGGCGGTTCGCCCAAGGCCGTTCAGGGCGGGTCCCGGCGCCTGGTGCTGTTCGAGGTGCGGCTCTAACAGGACGCGTCACCTTGGCCGCGGTCACCGCTTTCCTTCTTCCATTGTTTTTTTTTTCCCATCTTGCAAGGCAGTTGGATTGGTTGGTTCCCAGGATTTCTTCCAGCCTGAGCTGTTCCCGCTCACGCGTGTAGGGATGGGCGCCCCTCCCCAGTGCCTGCGGCCGGCAGCACCGGCTGAGTCCCACCCCCGCACTGCCCGGGCGAGGGGCCACCAGCGGGTCAGTCAGTGTCTCCGTGTTAAGGAGGGGCACGTGCCTGCGTCTCGGGGGGCAGTGAGGTGAGCTACGCAAGGCCCCGCGGAGGCCCCAGCACGGTCGGTCAGTCCGCACTGGGTCATCGCTGTGTAGTTACCTTCCGCTCTCAGCTTCTTCCTCCCCCACGTCCCCCGCACTCCACCCACGGTGACCCAGTGCCTCAGCCAGACCAGGGACTCCGAACCCTGGTCTGGGTGGCAGCCGCCGGCTACATGTTTCTTTGTCCTCGGAGAGTGGCTAAGACACTCAAGGCCATTAGCTCTACCAGGCTGGATTGAGCCAAAGCCCCTTATGGCACAGAGACCTGCTGGGGAGTTCAGGGTCCTGGCCGCTGAGGTAGCGGGGTCAGGGCTGTAAGGCCCGGGACCCGGCCAGGGAGGGGCAGGCGTGGCCGCAGGAGCCCGGTGAGCAGGCCACGCAGGGCAGGTGGCCGGCAGGAGGTGGATTTGCAACCGGCTTCAGCCAGGCCAGGGCTTGCCACTGTTCTTAGTGGTAATTTGAGGAAGAGGCCAGAGTTCAGGAGACCTGAAGGCTACCTCAGAAAGCCTCGGGAAGAAGCCAGGCTCCTCAGTGACTCTTAACTAACGACACATGTCCAGGCTCAACTCACTTGGCCCAGACCCCCTCTGAATTGCTCTAGGGGTGCGAGATGTCGGCCCAAAGGAGCCAACAGATTAACTCTCACTCCTCCAGGGTCTTCCGGGCTGCACGGAAGGCCCAGCTGGTGACTCGGGGGATAGGCAGTGCCTTCAGGGCGACTGGGGAGCAGGGAAGCGCGGGAAAGGACATCATCGCCCACCCGCTTTTGCTGAGTCCAGCACTTGGGGTCACCTTTGGCTTCCTGTCTTCCCCTCACTAGTGTCCGTCAACAGTACGGCTGTGACTCCCCCTCCAGACCGTGCCCCAGACGCACAGCCGGTGCCCTCTGTTGGCGCAGGGTCACCGGGCCAAAGCCACAGGACTCTTGCTCGGACGGTTTCACCTAATTTCCTAACTGGTCTCCTAACTGGTGTCCTAACTGAAGTTAGTTTTTTGTTACATCTGAGTTAATACTCATATCCAAACCTAAATCAACCCCATCTCCAGAGCAAGAAGGTATTTTTCCTTATAAACTTTCTCCAAACTTCTTGCAAAAACAGGGTATTTGCTGTCTCTGGAAATACCTTTCTCACCAGGTGCCACAGACTGAAATCACGAATGACGGAGGCCTGAACAAAAGTCACAGGGGTGTCAGAATGTCATGGGAGACAGCCTGTCAGCCCCGCCGGGGCCCTGCACCTGACTCTCGGTCCCCCCCCGAAACTGAGGTCTCCCCCGTTTGGCAGCAGTGAGATGCCAGCTGGGGTCCCGATGCTGAGTTTCCGCCTCGAGCCGTACAGGCAGGGAGGGGGGTGATGTCATGCCTAGAGGTCCGGAAGTAAACGGAAATGATTTGCTAGATAAAAATCTAGTAAAAATAATCAGTAGCACTGGAAGAAATCAACAAACTACCTCCAAAAAGCAAAGCCACAAATCAACCAGAGAAGCTGCCCCACGAAAACCTGGCCCCGCGCAGCTGGTCTGGGGGTCAGCAGCTCCGTCCATCTCTCAGCCTGTCCCCCTTCTCGGAGCCAGGGGCCTCGTGGGAGGCCCCAGCTTTCCTCTCCCCGCAGAGACACCCCTCCCCGACCCTTCGCCTTCTCGCGGTCGGGGCTCACCCACTTCGGCCAGAGCAGCTGTGTAGTTTACAGGTCGGGCCGTACCATAGTAAGGGGGCTGCGGTAGAGCCAGTTTTTACCTTTTTAAAAATATACTACCAGCTCTGCGGCCATCCACACCCATTTTCTCCTGACAACTGGAGTGATCGGATCTTGGGAACATGTTTTCGTTTGGCCATCAAGGTGAAAATAAATTTTTTTCAACAAATTTATCGAGTGATTTCCCATATAGATTTTTCCCTCTTTCAATACGGACTGGCCTCAACTTCCTGATAATGAATGGCACCTGTCACACAGGAACAGCCGCACGTGCTGAGGAGGGGTGGGCACTCACAGCCCGCAGTCCTGTGGCATCTGAGCAGAGTGTCCACGGTCAGTAGCTCAGATGAACGGAGTTGCTTCCACTACAGGCCGCGTCCGCCCCTCCTCCCTCCTCGCCTCGGATTCAAGGTCCCCGGGGACACAGCCCTCCTGGGACTCACGCTTCGTCTCCTGGCCTGTTGCAGGGCCCTGGTGGTGTTTGCCCGTCACTTCAATTTCACTTTGCCGTTTCCCCTCTTTTCCACGGTGCCCAGGTCCTTTCTCTCCCCGTCGCTGGGACCCAGCTGGACGTATTTTAGGGGTGACGTGATGCGTGCGTTTGGAGCGTGTGTGCGTTCTGGGAAGACTCCGAGCACCGCCGCCTCTCTGCGCCCCCACGCGCCCCACTCCGCGTTTCACCCACACTCGGCCTCACGTTCCCGAGGTCCACGAGTGACTGTGACGTGGACGTGCCCCATTCCGCGTCCACCCCAGGCCTCGCGCTGTCTGCCGCTCTTCCTTCTGAGCGCACGCATTCCCACGGGGCGGCCACGTCCCCTCCACCATCGTCCAGCTGAGCGAGAGGCAGACGCGCGGCCTCCGCTGTGCTCCCCACGAAGGGAAACCATGAGTTGCCGTCTGTCTGTCCCCACCTCTGGTGTCCCCACACACGACCCGCCCCGCCCCCAGGCAGGGACAGCTGTGCCTGACCCCAGGAC